CAATTGTTTTTTCCGAAAAGCTGGCTTCACCCTGATATCGAGATTGGCGTATTTCTACTGGATGGGGTTTTTCGGGGAAATCATCTGAAATCATCTGCATTCGAGGTGGTGACTGGTAAATGACTGCTGATTTTCGAACTGTATCCAATTGCAACATGGAAAAAAATATCCTTTAGTACTGCGTTGTGGGCATCTCTTTTTAATTTGCACTAGTACGTGTTTGCTATTTCGAAGGTTATCGAAGTGGACTTCTCATTTGACAGATCTCTCCACATATTCGCTGAGTGCCCGCCGCACATCTCCTAAACACTAAAGTTTGATAGTCTGTGGTAACTTCACACCAACTCAAATTCCGACCAAGGCCTTTTGTGTCGAAAACTGTCAAGAATAAACACATTTTGCACTCCATGAAAATTCATCGCAGTCACCGACTTGAAAAAACACAGAAGCCATGTGAAAGTTCGCTATTGCTCACCTACAGTCTGGCTCCGAGCTCAGCTGATCAGTGAAAATAACTTGTAGTTGAATCGAGTGTGTTGCCTCACCTCACCTCAGAAATCCGCGTTCAGAGAAGCTGACAGGAGATCACACAGATCCCACTAATATACAACTGCCGCAGACTCTGGACAGCCACACAGCACTTGGATGGTGCCTCGTCCGCAAGTTAATCATGATACTGGAAGCCTCAGACATCACTCTATTTCCCAATCGGTCCGCCATCACATCACGCCTTTCCGCAAGCTCATATTGGTGTAATCAGACTGGGCAAGGTATGTTATCTACTTGTCTCGGTTGCGTGCCTGCCTGTGGTCCAGATCTCCTCCAGCCAAAACTGTTGACAAAGGTTGGGGTTCAGGTCAGGCAGTTCAATTTTTCAGTCAAGCGCCAGTGAATAAAGACTCTAGCGGTCACGCCTTCCTTCGCGGACGATAAGGAGAATCAGAGAATGAGAGCAACTCGTTGGGAGCGATCAAACCTGTTCGTTTGATATGGCAGGGGTTGGGATACGCAGTGAAGGCAATAGATTCGATGCAAGACCGCCATGGGCTACGTGACACAGCCATACCTGTCGGAGTCACCAGCCACGTATAGAATAGCTGTTAATTCCAACTGCTTAAGTGATTCGTTTGTATTGGCCTCCTGGAAAGTTTCCTAAGTGTTGGGGGATGGCTCACAAGACACAGGTGATACCAAGGCTTCAGCAGACTGTCGTCCAATAAACTCCAGGTCTACACCACAAAACGTTGAGTAATGGAACAAAAAACCGTGCCACTGTGATGCGAATGTAAATACACGTAAACACAAGTTCAGGCTCGAAGAGAGTGCTGTTTTCCAGGCCCAACTCAGAGTGACGTAAACAGAGAGGTGGTCAACCCTTGACTTGGCAGAGGAGTATGAAAAAGATCACGAAACGCTTGGGTGCCGTCGGTACTACTCGCCCTCCAAGAAGGGGCCGGTGTGATCCTTAGTGCGCCTGGTTGTAGACACTACAAGATATGGCCAGGAACCCTCAGATATCACTCTATTTCCTAATTGGTCCGCCATCACATCACGCCTTTCCGCAAGCTCATATTGGTGTAACCAGACTGGACAAGGTATGTCATCTACTTGTCTCGGTTGCGTGCCTGCCTGTGGTCCAGATCTCCTCCAGCCAAAACTGTTGACAAAGGTTGGGGTTCAGGTCAGGCAGTTCAATTTTTCAGTCAAGCGCCAGTGAATAAAGATTTTAGCGGTCACGTCTTCCTTCGCGGACGATAAGGAGAATCAGAGAATGAGAGCAACTCGTTGGGAGCCATCAAATCTGTTTGTTTGATATGGTAGGGGTTGGGATACGCAGTGAAGGCGGTAGATTCGATGCAAGACCGCCATTGGCTACGTGACACAGCCATACCTGTCAGAGTCACCAGCCACGTATAGAATAGCTGTTGATTCCAACTGCTTAAGTGTTTCGGTTGTATTGGCCTCCTGGAAAGGTTCCCAAGTGTTGGGGGATGGCTCACAAGACACAGGTGATACCAAGGCTTCAGCAGACTGTCGTCCAATAAACTCCAGGTCTACACCACAAAACGTTGAGTAATGGAACAAAAAACCGTGCCACTGTGATGCGAATGTAAATACACGTAAACACAAGTTCAGGCTCGAAGAGAGTGCTGTTTTCCAGGCCCAACTCAGAGTGACGTAAACAGAGAGGTGGTCAACCCTTGACTTGGCAGAGGAGTATGAAAAAGATCACGAAACGCTTGGGTGCCGTCGGTACTACTCGCCCTCCAAGAAGGGGCCGGTGTGATCCTTAGTGCGCCTGGTTGCAGACACTACAAGATATGGCCAGCACTAAGTCCCTCCCCACTCCACCTATACTCTCTTCTTTACAATCAAGGTTGAACACTGATGTCATGCTGTCGATGATGGTGATGATGACTGTGTGACCGAATTTCTTAACTTCTCTGTGAACGTCCAGCATTTCCTGGGGCACCGCCTCACCGGTGAATAAAAACCATCCTGTGGGAAAAAAACAATTACGGAAGCACTGAAGGCCTAACCGAGAAAACCAAGGCGCAATAGAACAGAAGGAAGCTTGTTCTCACCTCCGCACGATATTTTAATATCTCATTTCTGTGACGCAATTTCCTTGCGCTTATCTCTCGCGTCAGGTCCAACTCCTTGGTATCCGTTCCGATACTTCTCCAGTGACGTCGCCTGTGGCAACTACAACAAGATGACAAGAGAAAAAAGATGCATGACGGCTAACAATAGAACATGATTAATATGTTTGAAAGAATGATGTACCTATTATGTATCAAACTTTGGTTACTACGCAGGCTATCTGAAGAAAATACGCGGTTTACAATGGGAGAAATAATGCAACCGTTCCTGCTCTATTGTTCTGACTTTGAGTTGTTTTTTTTACCAGTATAATACCGGTGTGCCGGCGAGTGAATTAAGGTAGAAAAACGGAATAAAACAAGAATAGCCAGAAACTCTAAAACAAACTTTTAGTCAAAGCTGTCGGAGTGCT